TCCACAAGCTGCCCCTCTTTCCAGTTTTCTTCCCTTTTCTCAAGAACTCTGTGCTTTAGCAAATCTGAGTGTCACTTATCACCAGATATATTCTGTATTTTGCATTTAAAACTTCCCTTATATGATTCACTCTTTTTGAAATGCCCTCTTCTCCAACTTTTATGTTTCTTTTAAGCTTAGCTCATATACTGCTTCTTCCATGCAGTCTGCCATGAGCTGTCACCATGCTCTCACAGCGCTTCCATTCCCAGTCTTGTCTTTCTACTTTAAGTGAGTTGGCTTTAGTTTTGGTCTGTGAAAGGCCCTTACTGCCCTGTGTGTTCTAGAGGCTGTGCGAAGAGAAACTGCCCTTGTTCTTATCACTGTATCTTTTTTCTGTGCTAGTTTCATTTTTGCCATGATACCGGTTTGAAAAAGAAAGTTCTCAAAACATAAAGTCTGAGTTTACTTATGGCAAGATATATTATTTATAAAATAAAATGTAGTTAAAAAAAGTCAAAGTATTTAAATGCACACAGATTGCCCTTCCCTATTACCCCCATTCAGTGAACAAAATTTATAACTTTTTTTAAAAGTTTTTATTTATTTATTTTTAGAGAGAGAAGGGAGGGAGGGAGACAGAGAGAGAGAGAGAGAGAGAGGGAGAGAGAGAGAAACATCAATGTGTGGTTGCTGGGGGTTATGGCCTGCAACCCAGGAATGTACCCTGGCCGGGAATCGAACCTGCGACACTTCGGTTCACAGCCCGTGCTCAATCCACTGAGCTACGCCAGCCAGGGCAATTTATAACTTTTTATAAAGTTTTTAATTGTACCTTTAGGACATAAGAGATTTACATAAACTAAGCAGGTATAATTGATATCTGAAGTTTTAAAAATTATTCTTATAGTAAGTACAAACTTGTTCTCATCTCAGTCCAGTTCTTTCAGTGACTTATTTTTCCCGTTTGAGCTAGATTTATATAAACCCCAAGGGAGGCATAGGTGTGGTGGGTAGGTGTGCTTTGGGAGTGAATGGGGAAGACACGTAACAGGTACGACTGGCGAGCTGGGAAAAACGTGAAGCAGCACCTCTGTCTGGGAGAACTGAGCGTTGTGCATGCAGAGTGTATCACTACAGCAGGCGGGCGTCAAGTGGTAGCGAGCCTGTGTTACCCATTTCATCTGAACTCTTAGGTCAAACGAAACACTAGCTTTACCGAGCCAGGAATTGAGCAAGAATAGAGGAGGTTATTTCCCACTGGACTGCCACTTGGAGCCTCTGTGACCTTTGACAAGTTTTTCATTCTCTTTGGAGTTCAGTTTTCTAGCATCTAAAATGGTGAGATTCATTGTATCTATCTCATAAATTTGTTTTGAAGACGGTTAACTGAGCTGATCCATGCCTGGCTTGTAGTAAGCCCTTACTAAGTTTTAACTACCAACATTACAAAGGGCAGAGTGCTCTGTAAACTGAGGCAATATGTTTTAATAGGATAGATTTTGCAGATAGTAAACCTTGTCCCCTCATTCAGGGCAAAAACTGTATTTTGGTAGCTCATAAAATTTTAGTTCTCTTAGCTTTGAATCTGTGTTTTAAAATAATTCAGTTTAAAAGGGAAAATAAAAGTTTCCTGGTTCAACTTCATATTGAATACAAGCCTTCCAATGCCAGAAATAAATGTCTTCAGATTCCAAAGAAGTATCTCAAACCTCTTCCTTCCTTTTATTCTCAGAGTAAAAAACAAATTTACAGTGTTTTTAATCTTAAAAACGCCCTCAATCATGTATATTTTCATATCAAAAAGGAAAAAACAGTATTTAATTGTTTTGCTTATGTTTAAATAGGCTTTTTCCCAATGGGAAATTGAAATATTTAAAGTTGGTGTCTCAAAGAGATGGCAGATAAGGAACATACTTCTGAGTTCTATAGCGGGCGACTGCACTGTTTCTTTTCCAGGCCGCTGTCTGGGCCCTTCGGCTGCCTCCACCCCAACCCTGCAGGACTGTGCGGTCGGGGCTGGTGCTGCTGCTGTCCCTCAGGAAGGGCTCGGGATGAGCAGGGAGTCTCGCTTCAGGCCCTAACAAGTCCCTAGAGATGGGAATAGTTTAATTTGTCTTGATGGACTTTGATACAGAACTACAAAGGAATGGCCATTACTCCTTCTATCTTTTTTAAAGATTTTATTTATTTATTTTTAGAGAGGTGAAGGGAGGGAGAAAGAAAGGGAGAGAAACGTCAAGGTGTGGTTGCCTCTCGCACACCCCTGCTGGAGACCTGGCCCACAACCCAGGCTTGTGCCCTAGACTGGGAACCGAACCAGCGACCCTTTGATTCACAGGCCGACACTCAAAACTGAGCCACACCAGCCAGGGCAATAGCCAACCACTTCTTGCTGGGTCCTCACTTGGAGGATGAGGCAGGGATCCCTCCAGAGCCTCTTATAAAAATGTAAGACACTAATCCATTGTAAGGGCTCCACCCTTATGGCCTGAGTACCTCCCAAAGGCCTACTTTAAATGCCATTATCTTTGGGCATGAAGATGTCAATGCATAGCTCTCTGGGGTGGGGGTTGAGGGGGAAGGACCTTAGCAGTATGCTTTGTCTTATACTGGTATTTCATGTAACGCTAGAATAAGGAAGCTGCCGTCTTAAAAAGTCTAATTGTGTCCTGAGGCTCCCCAGCCAAGGACCGTAAGTGCTCACTGTTGGTTACCTTTCATGTCCCATTTCCTCTGCTTAATTTTTAAGATTCCACCAAATTTCTACCAAATTAAAAATACTTCACTGTAACTTAACTGTTTACTGTATTTGTTAATGTTCATCCTGTTTGCTTTTTTCTTCTTCACTGTTTCAAATCACGTCTGTCCTTTAAAGAGAAGCTTAGGTCTTAGGTGTAGCTCAACATTTTGTCCTGTTATTTTATTCCACGTGAGTAGTTCCTTTTTCCAGAATTTGTTTAATTATTTGCTTATCATTTGTTTGTGTGCCCTGTTTTTTCTTCTTTCCCTGTAAGTCCTTAAAGAGATAACACGCTGACCCTTCTTTCTGTAGTGTGATGGCGGTAGGTGTTCCATAAATGTTTTCTAATGTTGCTAATGACGTCTTAACTAATAAGGTGCTTGAGCAGGTAGAATCACGTGTAGAATGAGCTGTTAGTTACTTTACCAGGAGATTAAGTCAAAGTAAACTGAATACACTAAAAATATTGTGAATAAGAAGAGTACATTAGAGTCTTCTGCATATTAAAAACACAGCAAAAATGGCAATATCAGAGTCTCTTGTACCCAGATATGTTTAAAATATACCAGTACAACAAAATTTCCAATTAAGAAATAGAGCGTGAATATCATTTCAAAACTGGGAAAGCTATGTTATATTTAAGGAACTTTACACTTTGATCATCCATAGCTGAGGATAACTTTGTTAAAGTATGAATTCTGGTTCTAAGCATAGTCGCTGCTAGATTTCATGAGACTTGTAGAAGTACCTTCTTCTATTTCTAAAACCCCAGACGGGGGAGTCTCAGCACATGCCCGAGTGGCTGAACGCAGTCTCACTGTGTCATCATTAGGCCACACGGTTATTTGAATGAATTTATGACCTTCCAAATTTTTGCCAGTTTCCTACAAAATTTCTTTTCCCCAAGAACCTCTGGGAGTGTGGCTCTGTAGGGTCCCCACATTTTCATCCCGGTCTGGTTTTCCGGGGTGCACCGAGGCTCTCCCCTCTCCACATCTCCAGTTAGAGGCCAAGGCCTTGTCTGAGATCCTCTGAGGCCGAAAATCTCGGAGTGACTCACTCATCAGATGAATGTGAGTTTTAAAAGTTGGCACTTATCATTTATCTTAATTATTAATTTAATTACTATGTGATAGCTTTGTACTAACTCTTTGACATTAATACTAATCCACTGGCTTTAATACATAAAGAAATTGGAGAAGCAATAAAGATTTCAGAAGTAATTGATAACCTTGAGCATCTTTGTTTTTGTTGTTTTCGTAATTCTGAGATTTTTTCCCCTTAAATTGCCCAGTTGATTATTATGTACTGCATTCCTAGAACATGTAAGTAATTTGGTGGTTTTTCCTTTGGGCCTCTCTTCTGCCTTCATGTTTAACACCATCAACCTTCTGAACTACATCTTGTTATAATCTGACCAAAATAATCACTCTTTCTGATTTGAAGAGGGGTTAGTCCCATGCTAATTCACCATTTAGCCTTTTTTTTTAATCACTGACATTACATGAGTTAAGGTTTGGAGTTGACCTGAATCATGCCTGTTCGCACTGGTACCGTCGCTGACGGTGCAGACGGGTGGTAACCATGAGCTGAGCGGTGCAGCAGGTGCTCTGCACTGAGCTCAGGGAGGGCAGGCACCCCCCCCCCCCCCCCCCCGCCCCGCGGAGCAGGACAGGACTCACTGGATCAGGGCCATCAGTATGGATCAAGGTCATGAAATTGGGCCCTGCCTTCCTTCTGGCCTTTGGGTGTTTTTGGTTTTTGTTTTTAATCCTGACCCAAGGACATGCTTAATGATTTGAGAGAGACAGGAAGGAGGGGGAAAAGAGAGGGAGAGAAACCTTGATCAGTTGCCTCTCCCATATGTCCTGTGTGCTGAGGACTGAACCCGCAACCAGGACATGTGCCCTGATCAGGAATCGAGCTCGTGACCTTTCAGTTTATGGGACGACACTCTAATCAACCCAGCCACACCAGCCCGGGCATAACTGGTGACAGCAAACGTCCATAGCGGTGTTGCTGTCTGACCCCTCAGGGTCAGGGTCAGCTCCTCCTGCTGCTGTGAAGTAAGAGTCACCAGGCCTCTGTTGTTCGCCATGTGCCTCGTACTCTCTAAAGCAGTGCCAACACAGAGTGTCTTTGACTCCTCGTATCTACTAATGTGGTTCTATGAGAGAAGAGTTTAAGTATAAGCCAGAGTAGTCAAAAACCAGCATACAGCCTATTTCTCTTTTAACTCTGACACAGATGCTAAAATTCATCATTATTATCACTGCAGGCCATGGTTGCTTGTTACCCAGGCAATGGAACGGGATACGTACGTCATGTTGATAATCCGAATGGAGATGGAAGATGTGTGACGTGTATATATTATCTTAACAAGGACTGGGACGCCAAGGTATGCAGCTCAGTCGAGCATTTGTTCTTTCTCACAGGCACTCCTCCTAGGTAAGGCTCTTCAGCACGCGCAGCAGTCAGGAATTCCTCTCTTAGATTTGTTTCAGCTTTAGTATTAGCAATGGATGTTTGTGAAATGAAACATATACTGATATAGCTCAAAAAGTGGATTGCCTTGTTTTCAGATGTTGACCTATTCATCTAAAATTTAACTTTTATGAAAGTGTCTTGTATTAAAATGTAGTTCTTTTAATGGTTTTTATAAAAATGTTTCTGTCAATGATTGTTTTATAATGGCTTTTTAGGGAGATCATGTATAAATAATTACCATGGTTTACTTGCTACTTACTCCTACTTTATTCTTCACACTGTTGTAGAGATGTTATCTGGCATTGCCTTGTTGGATTGAATATTGATTATGGGAAACCAGAAGTTTATCAATACTGACAAATCCTGTAAAACCAGTTAGAGTGTACAGGGTGAGCAAAAGTAGGTTTACAGCTATGGGTACGTGAAACACAGAGTTATTTCTTGTATCATTTATTAACTATTACTTATTTGTGTTATGTAAACCTCCTTTCACCCACCCTTGCATAAGACGTTTAACTTCTGTTTTAAACACATAGTCCCTTAATATTAGCCCAAGTTTCACTTTGGTTTAAATGATTTAAACTTTGGAAGCATGTTATTTGTTGTTATTGTGTTGGAACTGGTGTAAGCTAATTTTTGGTTAATTTTCAAATTTTGTTTAAATTTACTTTTTTAAAGCAAAATATTCAAATAGAAAAGTGAGCAAGTGTATATACCCCAGTGGGTTTCCACAGAGCCAACACACCAGTGTAGCCAAGGTAATTTTTTAAAATTAAATAACCTTTAAAACACCACCTCCCTTTTGGGGAAGAAATATTCCTCCCCCTATTAGGGGAGAAATAAATAGGTTTTATACTCCTTCTCACACACCCCCCCACAAAAATGGAAGCCACCAAGTTTCAAGGGTACAAAACCTATTTCTCTCCTAAATATGCATTCTTAAGTTGAGGATATTCTCACAGTGCACAGAAAGATTCTCACAGTGATCTTTCGCTATATCATTCTGATTTAAGGAGCTCCCTGTGTCCTAGTCCAAGTTCAAAATGCAGGTAAGTTTTATTGCTAAGTAGAGCTTGAGGCATTGTATCAACAGACATGGTTTTTTCTATTACAATTTTAAAACTTTGAAATAGAGAAATAAATTTGGTAATTTAACTTGAGCCCAACATACAAAGTAGATTGATGTAACTTTGGTTAAAATTTAAAAAAAATTTTTTTTAAATTTAGATTTTGGTGACTATCTGGAAAGCTAGAGATACATTGATTGGCACTTCACTTCTGTATACTGTTAAGTACTTTAGGCCAGTGTTGTAATTTTCATATGACCTACCCAAAGTCATTAATATATCGTTTTTAAATTAGTACATGAGCAGAAAAAAGTCCATAGCATTTTTATATGTAGAACTGAAACCTTTCATTACGAGAACGGGCCGAATGTCTGCGGTGCCAGACACTGTTCTGGGAGCTGGAGGTGGAGCAGAGGGAGAGCCGGCCCGCACGGAGCGGGGCTCTGGTGGGAGGGCAGGACCGGCAGACTGGCAGGGAAACTGGCTGTGCCACGTGCAGGGCGGGTTGCTGGGGGAGCACACGGGAGCCCCACCTAACTCAGAGGTCAGGGGTGGTTTCCCAGAGGAAGACCTGAAGCTTCAGCTATCTCTTTTTAAACATTTTCTTTTAAAAAATATTTTATTGAACAAGTATAAAGGACACATGGACAAAAACAAGGGGGGGGGTGGAAATGGGAAGGAGGTAGAGAGGGCTTGGGGGGGGTGGGCTGGGATGGGAGTAAAAGGTAGAAAACTATACTTTAACAACAATTAAAATAAAAAAAATAATTTAAAATTTAACGAAAAAAGTAAAAAAAATAAAACAAAAAATTTATTTTTTTAGAGAGCGGGGAAGGGAGGGAGAAAGAGAGGGAGGGAAACATCAATGTGTGGTTGCCTCTCACGTGCCCCCACTGGGGAGCTGGCCTGCAACCCAGGCATGTGCCCTGACTGGGAATCCAACCGGTGACTCTTTGGGTCACAGACTGGTGCTCAATCCACTAAGCCACACCAGCCAGGGCCTTTTTAGACATTTTCAGCAGACCACCTATGATACTCCAATGACTCCAGTTAAAGGGCAGGGGCCAGGGAGAAAAGAAGACATGTTCTTGGTCACAGTCTAGAGTTTCTTCAGATGTGTACACAAGGCTGCGGGAATCACTCTGACAACGTGGGAACCTGAGGAAGGCGGGCAAGGGTACCAAGTAGCTTGAATTTAACTAACTTAGGGATGAACCTGATCCGTAGCTTCTCTGACTATAGACTCTAGGAATAGGCCCAAGCTCCTTAGTGTCTTGATCAAGTATTAAAGTTTCAATTTAAGAGTCTAACTACTTAGGAGTTTAGTTTTGGGGTTTTTGTTTTGTTTTGTTTTGTTTGTTTTTTGAGGGTAAAAAGCTGCTTAGTTGGGTGGTTTTTGCCTCGCTCTAATTCCCCCGGATTGTAAATACCAGGAGGACATATGTCTGCATTATTCCCTACTCTGCACCGTGGGCCCACCTCCAGTCCCAGAACAGTAGACACTTAAGTCAATATTGGAATGAGTCGGTGGGTCCACTTAATCCCAAATGGAGAAGGGTATGTATTTGGGTAAATAGTAATAATCCTTTCTGGATGGAACCCAGTTTTAGAAGCAGGCAGTCATCAGTGCGTCAGGCTCAGTCTGGAAAGGGAGGGCTTCGGTTCCTGATAATGACCACAGTGGTGGTGGGAATGATAAATGGGGACACGTTCTACTGGTAACACTGAATTCTTCAAATAAGGGCCATTAGATTTGTGGCTGTCCTGTTCATTATCTGTTGAACTTTACAATGTGCTAAACTGCTTTATTTGACATACTTAACCATAGAACAGGCACACCTCAGAGAGACTGCTGTTTGGGTCCAGACCACCGCAACAAAGCCAATATTGCAATAAAGCAACTGTCACAGTAGAGGAATTCATAATCCTTTTGTTGGCAGAAGGTCTTGCAATTTGTAAAAAAACACTACATCTGGGAAGCACAGTACAATGAGGTGTGCCTGTAATTTACTCAAGATGATTTGAAATGTAAACATTTGAAGAGCAGGTTAAGCAGATCATTAGCATACATAAATAGGAAGTATTTGCTAACTTAAAACCTGGAAGTTGAAGCACTTTAAGGCTTTTGGAGTCAGATAATATTCGTCTGTTTCATCAAGTATATATAAGATCCCTAAAACAGGAAATGATTTTTTTTCCTTGTATCAGTGCATATACTTGGAATCGCAACTCACCCTCAGACCTTGTGGACTGAAATGTATCTGAACAATCCAGTTAAGGATTTTGATTTACTGTAATGGGCTCTTCCCCCGTTAAATTTAACTTGTAGCATTCTTGGTTACTCATACTTAGATATTGACTCTTTTCCTAGGTAAGTGGAGGTATACTTCGAATTTTCCCAGAAGGCAAAGCCCAGTTTGCTGACATTGAACCTAAATTTGATAGACTGCTGTTTTTCTGGTCTGACCGTCGCAACCCTCATGAAGTACAACCAGCATATGCTACAAGGTAGTGTTCCTTTTAAGAAACCATTGGTAAAGATTGTGGCAGGACAGAAGAGATACATAAGATAAATTTAAGTTTTCAGTTACTTGTATCATAATGCTGCCATCATAACGTTTCATTTGAATAGTTTTGTAACATTTATTCACACTTGGTACTCAGTGTGACTTTCTTTGCGTAGCCACTCCGTGTTTGGGGTAAAACTGGAAGCGTGGGCCCTTCATCTTTCCAACCTCCTCTTCCTTTTGTTCATCTGGTAACTGCTGTCCATCCTGTGGTTTTATGAGAGTAGTCGGCCCTTGACCAGTGTGTAGATGAGGGTGTGCCAGACCCCGTGCAGTCAAAAATCTGTGTGTAATTTTTGACCCATCCAAAAAAACGTAACTTCTAATAGCCCACTGTTGACCAGAAGCCTTACTGATAACATAGTCAATCAACACATTTTATATGTTTTTATATATATGTATATTTATACTGTTACAATAAAGTAAGCTAGACAAAAGAAAATGTTATTCAGAACATCGTAAGAAAGAAAATATTACAGTATTTTTTGAAAAACTGCGTGTAAGTGGACCCATGCAGTTCAAACTGTTGTTGTTCAAGGGGCAGCTACTCACTTGGAATAGAAAGAAGAGCTGGAGAAGAAAAAGGGCAGCTCTTTAAAAGGGGCGGGGAAGCTGGCGTAGTAAAATGACACAGAGGACACAAGCAAGAGGTAACCAGGGAGGAGAAGTGAAGAGAAACAAGAGTGGAGGAAAGGAAAGGTTCTCATGCATGGGAGTTAAGGTTAGAAAAATAACCCTTTAGCTTCGATAATGGCATCTTTTTCTATATTATACTTTTTACAAGATTTAATATTCTAAACCTATTATGTTTAATGTATTCCTTAAATTATTTTACCATTCACTGTGACTCAGTTAAAATGTTAAGACTTAAAATGGAAGGTGTTACAGACATCGTTGTAAAAATAAATGTTTGTAGAAAAAGCAGTGTGTATTAAAGATCTGCTTTTCATTATTGAAAGGACTTTGAACATCACGATAGTGAGTTTCTGGCACGCATTTGCTTAGAACTAGTGACAAGAGGCACACCCTCAGACGCTGGGAGAAGAGTTGGCTTTTAATAATCATGTGAGAGACAGGCCGGCCTTTGATGAGGTTCAGATTCCAAAGACTGTGTTGTCATCTCTCCCTTGTACTTATTCTTGTCGGCCATGTTGCCTTTAGCCCTGATTCATACGATGAAGAGCAGGCCGAATAGTTTGTGGCTAGAGATCACTAAGAGGCCAAGAATGGAAACTGAGGGTCCTGGCACATCCCTGACATGCTGCCCGCCTCTCCTCGCAGCACCCCTGTGCCCAGCTCTGCCCCTGCTCCTCCTTCCGAGCCCTTTCTGACCTAGCAACGTTTCACAGACCCTCCTTTTCGTGGAGTATGCTCTGGTTGTGTCCTTTGTAGATAATTAGGTAACAGACATTTTTAGGCAGTAACTAAATGCCAGACGGTATTGGGGGTAAGTGCCGCAGGAGTTAGGAGGAGGGAGACGGCGGCGTGAATTGCGCTAGATGGGTCCGGTGCCCGGTGCCCAGCAGGAGGGGGAAGTCAGCGGGACCTAGAGCGCCAGGAAGCAGGGAGGACAGACTTGGTGGTAAAGCCCTGGGGGGAAGGGTGAGGCCGGCCCAGTTCCAGTGCAGCCGGGGATGCGGATGCGAGGAGGGTTGTTCAGCGGGTCAGTGGGAGATAAGGAGGGAACAGCAGAATGACATGTAATAGTTTACAGTTATTTTCTGGTAGGGACTTAGGGCTAGAGAGGGGAGTTGACCCAGATATTTAGAACTCTGATTACTAAGTAACTAAAAGTTTGGGGCATGGGCAAAAGAAATGTAAAATCATATATCTGTGCCCTTTTCCCATTGCCAAGGCCCCTTGGAAAAATAGAAGAGTCTAGATGGCAAGAAAGGTGTTGGAAAGAGCAGAACCTGGAAGTCAGGAGGCTGGACTGTGACCTCAGCTCTGCCACTCACCCACTGAGTGATGATCAGTGGGCCTCAGTTTCCCCAGTTGTCCAGACTCTGACTCTACTTGCCTCTGAGTCTTTACTTCAAATATTGTACGTGATTTAGCTCTGCCACACTTCCTGGCTCTTCATTTCACTGTGTTGCTTTCCCCCCAGTGAATACTGGCCAGAACCTGCAAGACACTTTAATTGCTTTTTTTCTGCTACGGAATTATCGTAGCATGCTTTCACTCCCTGTAGCGTGTGTGCCAAGAGGTGTAACTGTGCTTTGTGGTATTTAATAAACCAGAGATTCCTCGCTTATTTGTGGAATGATATATTCCAAATAAGTGAAATATTCAGAAAGGCGAAGTTTAGCTAAACTTTATGTCTAAACCGAGTATAAGTGTTTCAGTAAAAATCCTAAAAATATTCTTAGCAAAATTTAACTCTTGATGACTCGAGGTTATACAACTGTAACCGTGCACTGGGATTCTTCGCTGTGACGTCATGCTGTCCTGAAAGCTGTGGGGACTGTTTGCCCTCCCTGTCTCTGAAAAGCACCAGGCCTCAAGTCCCTTTCTCTTCCTCTCCTTTCGGAGCTCATGCTGTGGGTAGGGCCGCAGCCATTCTCTTGCCTTCGTAGTGTCTGTTTCTGGCCTGCTGCGAGCTGACAAGGCAGATGGAGCAGGTTATTAGGCATTGAGAAAGTCGTGAAAACGCACCGGCTTTGCAGAGTCAACTCGAGCTCCTGGTTCTCTGCTGCACTGGGAGCACTGAGGTTGCTGGATAAGTGGGTTGTGACTCCTCGTTTATCCTCCTGTGACATTCCGATTGAGCCTTTGTTTTGACATTACACATTTTATAGACCATTGCAAAGCATATCACCTTTTCCCCCCAGTGATCATTCTTACCCTATTCTAAATTTTCTTTTAGGTACGCAATAACTGTTTGGTATTTTGATGCAGATGAGAGAGCACGAGCTAAAGTAAAATATCAAACAGGTAAACAGCATTTGGGGCCAGGGTACATTGGAAGGACATTGCCCACAGTCCTTGTACTTTTGTCAAACTCCTTAACTCCCTTAGAAGAGGGCTTCTCTTAAGTTCTCTTCATTGTTAACTTTAACCAAGAAAAGAAAATTATTCGAAGATAGGAAGGTTTGAGGCAAAGAAGTCTGAGGAAATTATTCTGATACAAGCTGAGATTCCCTGTGATTATCCTTTTCGGTCACAGGCTGCTCAGCTGTGGAGAGCTGCCGTCTGGCTTCCCCTCAATCTCCCCTTAGAAGGAAGTTAAAATCTTTCCCTTTTTAAATGTCCACGCTCTAAGCAGGGGTGTCCAGCCTTTTAGAGTCTCTGGGCCACACTGGAAGAAGAAAAGTTGTCTTGGGCCACACGTTAAATACATTGTGACATGTAATCACCAAACAATACTCATCATGTTTTAAGTAAATTTACGATTTTGTGTTGGGCCACATTCATAGAAATCCTGGGCCTCACGTGGCCCACGGGCTGCAGGTTAGACACCCTTAGAGCACTCAGGTCTTTCACATTGAATGTGGACATGAAGAAAATTGATACAAAGGAGATGAATGGAAATGACAGAGTTAGTAAATCAGATGGGCGTGTAAAGTCCTTAGCTGCCAGCGGTGGCCACAGGTCGACACACTTGTACTAAGCCTGAGGTCCTTCAGTAAGCCGACCCTGCACCCCCCGTAGGGGCTGTCTCCTGGAGCAGCGGGTCTTAGTTTTCCATCGGATGGACCCCTCACCTGTCTTTTCTTTAACCTTACCGTGTATCTCCCACAGTCTGGTCGAGGTTCACGTTACTGAGAACTGGCTGTATTGTCACAAGCCATTGATAATCCCAGATCAGCCTTTTATAAAACTGAAAACCGGATGTTCATACGGTTTTTATGTATTTTTAAAAGTCATTATTTTTGGCAGAAGCCTAGTAGTGTGCTTTTAGTGATGCCGAACACACTACTATTTTATAGCAATTCAAATTACTTTTCCAGTAAAAAAATGAAATCACTATCTCTGTGCTGAGAATGTGTTTCCCCTTTGAAGGTTTACTGGCTCCGAGTAACGTACTCATCGTAGTACAGTGCCAAGGGTAGCTTTCGGAAGCGCAGGGGTGATAGTTCGCACATGATGTCTGTTTGCCAAGTGAAACCTTGTGCATACTGTAAGGAACTCAGTGGGAAGCAGTAACAGAAGCTCTCTGGTGCTTGATGAATGAATTTTTGTTGTTTTTTTTTTTGTTTGTTTACCTTGCAGGTGAGAAAGGTGTGAGGGTTGAACTAAATAAGCCTTCTGATTCAGTCAGTAAAGACGTCTTATAGAGACACTTGGATCCAGCAACACCACTTCACCTGCAACAAGTGTTGACGCTGTGTGTTAACTTGTGACTGCACATAAACGGGATAAAGAGAAATAGACAACCATTTGGCATTTTCATAAGGAAACAGAAACAACGTTTTTGTGTTGCATCGGGAAGAAGACTTGACTGTGTGGCTTTGTACTGCATGAGTGACTCCGAACCTGTGATTGCTGTGGGAAGAACATAAGCTGTCAGCCGAACACGGTATTTACACCTGGACATGAACTAAGTGCCCGGCAGAGTGGTTTCATTCTCACATTTGGCCAGACCTGTCATCTAGCTGAGTTCGTTTCATCTCTCCCTTTTTTATATAGTCAAGTTTGAATTTGAAGTAATTTTTGTATGATCAGGTACAATCTATCAAAACTTAATTGAGAAAAAAATTACAGTATTATTCCCCAAAGTAGCATCAATCTATTTTTGTAAACCTCTTCGTACTATTAAATTTTGCCCTAAAAGACCGCTTATGATGATTGTTGCCAGTGACTAATGATTACTTTAATTTTCTTTTTACCCGAAAGAAGGAGCACTTTAATTACCAGCTGAAAAACCGGATTGTTCTGTAGTCTTGTCTTACACTAATTCGAACTCTTAAAAATTGCTGCTGTTGTTTTTTTGGCATTGTTAATAATGAAACATAACAGTAAAACTATACCACTTACTACCAGTAACTCTTAGTTTCGAATGTTTTGTAAGAAAAAATACACAGTAAGAAAAATAGAACTTTATATTTTAAGTTAAATTCAAAATAAAAAACCTACAGTGACTGGCACTAGATGAACTTGAGGTTATCTTCAGCATCAGGTTCCGGAGATAAAGGGCTTCCTTCAGCTTTCCGGCGTGTCCTACACAATTGTAGAAGGCTGCGCCCCCATTGCCGAGACTTGCCCTGGCTTCCCAGCGGTGGGTCGCACGTCCAGTGTTGCCGTTCCGTTTCCTACTCCCGTGACCCCTCCGATCCGCAGGTCGGCACCTTGCTCCCGTTGGGCAGCATCAAGGGGAGACCAGGTGCATCGAGACGGACCCGTGCAACCACCAACTCAGTCTGGTGACCCCCCCAGGCCGCTGCTGAGGCGTTCTGCACACGCGATGCTGGCCTCTCTACCACCGCTACTCAGAGGTGCAAGTTTAGCTGGGAAAAACAAATGAAGCGAAAGCAAGATGATTTAATTTTTACGTTTTGTGAGTTTTCTTTTTTACTTTTCAGAAAAAAAAAAGGGAATGTTACAAAATGACACAAGGCCCCCCAGACTCGGTTACTTGCTGTCCGAGTCGGGACGGAGGTCACAGACTTCAGTGTCCTCGGCAGAGCGCACAGGGCGGTGCCCGTGTTCCGCGGGCTTCTGGGTGGGATGCCCACTTCCGCTCGCTGTCTCTGTCCTTGATCTTTGCCAAAATAATGTGAGTGTACAGAAATACTTCTGTATATTTCAACTACGGCAGTTTTAGCATTTGTATAGTTTGTATGCAATTAGAGACCTTTTCTATGGAAAGCTCAGTAATTTTTATTAAAAGATTGATATTGTTCATGTAAAACATGAAAAAAATTGTTTAGTGAAACTGACAGTGTGGACGGAGGGTGGCGTTAGCCTTCAGTATTGCAATCTCACTTAGCAGAACTTGCAGGAGAAAACTAGAGGTAATGTCGTTTTTCCTTGCCCGTGTTGTGTTTTGTTCCCCGTCCTCTCCCCGTTCCAGACAGTCCAGCCCAGCATCCCCACAGTAAGTGCCTCCGCCCGCTGCCTGGGAGCGTGAGCTCTCTGCTGCCAGGCCCGCAGTGCCGTGCGCTGCGTTCAGCCCCACTCCAAGGCACTGTCATTTTGAAACCGGGCACAAGTGGTACCGTGTGGACGGGAGGTTTGTCTGGGTGCCGAGGTGCACAGCAGCAGCCGGCCCAGCTGGGGGCCCCCATGTCGTTCAGTTGTCCGTTCTGCTGTGTGGGCTGTGCTGCTGGACAGGTCTGTGTTTCTCTAGTTTTGGAAGGGTTTGTGTAATCTCTTGGAGATCGTTGTGAAAGGGTCAAGAAGTCAGGATAGCCGTTTCTTTAATATCCATTTAAAATCTGTTCATTTCATGTTTGTCGGACTGTTAACTTGCCACCAAGCAGGGCTCTCATTTAAAACAAAATTTAAAATTATTTGTGGCCTATGTGTGTTTAATCCTGGTTAAAGATAAAGCTTCTAATGCTGTTTTTATTCAACACATTAACCAGCTGTAAAACACGGACCTTTTATAAACAGCAGGCAAAGAATTTCAGGATTCATATGCAGACTATAAAGTCATGTAATTTGAAAAGCAGTGTTTCATTATGAAAGAGCTCTCCAGTTGCTTGTAAAGCTAATCTGATTAAAACGATGTACAAATGTTCTTGAAAAACTTATGGTTGTTATGTTCATCTCTTTTTTTGTTTTTTTTAATCCTTTATCGTATGGGCCTTTCCGTCAGATATTGTGCTTTTCTGTCACACGTCTCTGCCTAGTCCAGAATGTTTCCACGGATTTCTGTAAATGCCAACAAGGGGAGGGTCGCGAACATGGGAGTCCAGTGGTGTGAGGGACATCCTGGGGGTGGTTGGACCGCCCTTGTAGTTCAGGAGTTCTGTGTTTGGGTTCTCAGCATTTGGATTCTGTCCCTTTTAGGGTTTTAAAAATTACTCTAACACCCATGCTTTTGAGCCAGATCTGTCACCCGTCTGCTGCAGAAAGGACGGGGGCATCAGACGTTTATCTCTAATTGTCACTGGTGTCCTATTGCATATACAAGAAAGTTAATTTGTGTGGTCACAGACTAAAACATATGCGCTCTTATAATGTGAGATGAAGGTGCATGTTCATTTATCTCGTATTTAAATATTTTTTTAGTGCGGTGTTCTAGGTATTTTCCAGCCTGAGGGCATTTGGAAATTAGTACTGAAATACAGTTGGGTGAGTTAAAGGCGAGGGCAGATGAGTGAGAGGTAGAGACGAATTCAGTTCGGCAGGTGGTGAAAACAGCAAGTCTGTCTACTCCCGGCTCAACCAGCCACCTGAATGCGTGGCCCCGGGGCCTTCTTCATCTGAAAGGAAGTGCAGTGGCTCCCGACTTGCGGAGCTGTGTGCGGCCTAAGTGGAGGGCAGGTGCACGCAGTCCAGGGACCAGGGCTGCGCCCCAGCCACGGACAGCAGCAACGCACATTCACGCCCTGTAGACGCGCCCAGTCTCCACTGCTCCAGGAGTAGCTTTTTGGACATCAGAGGTCAGGGATACATTTGCTTTTGTTTTGTTTTGGGTTTTTTTTTAAGATTTTATTTATTTATTTTTAGACAGAGGAAAAGAGAAAGAGGGAGAGAAACATCAGTGTGTGGTTGCCTCTTGTGGGCCCCCCACTGGGGACCTGGCCCACAACCCAGGCGTGTGCCCTGACTGGGAATCGAACCGGTGACCCTTTGTTTCCCAGGCCAGCACTCAGTCCACGCCAGCCAGGGCTGCTTTGGTTTCAATGTGGATTCTTTTCATGATTAACTGAAGTACGGCAAAGTTCAAGGGCGTCCCATGGGGAAAGGGCGTGGCCTTGTGACCTGGAAGGCTTTCATAACTAGAGAACGCGATAGCAACTTCACGACACAGGGAGAGCCCTCACAGCTGCAGGAGGCTGACGCTCCCCTTTCCCCTGGACATTGCGGCTCTGAGCAGGGTGTGTCGTAAAGGTTATTGGGAAAGGTCTCCTTCGCATGGAGATGAAGACTTTTTTGCCAGAATTATTGATACTTCTACGGTGTTCTATAAAGTACGCGTCCATGTTTCTCAGAGCACACAAAATAAGCACAGCCAACTGTATCTCCATTTATAATTAAAACAGGATCAGAGAAGTGGCTTTAAAAAAAAAACACAGACCGCCTCACCAGTTTGCACGTCATCCTTGCACAGAGGCCATGCTAACATCTGTCATCCCAAGGTTAGCCTGTACGCTGCCGCCGAAGTGATTCTGCAGGGCTTTGCCCCGTTCTAAATAGTGTCATCACATCCCTGCCCGTTGACTGGCCCGTGTTTGGCCCTGTCTCTGGCTCACCCCCGACGCGGAAGGTGAGCCTGTGGGTCTCTTTCCAGGCCTCTCCCTCCATCCCGACCACACGTGCACGAGCATCCGCCACATCCCCTGACCTTCCTTTCGTAATTAGGTTGTGACTTGGGTTAACACCCAGTTCGTCAGCAGACTGTGTATGAAGGTCGAAGCTGGAACAAGAGTAAAAACCCACGATGACTTCATTTCCACAGTTTACGTTTCCCTGAATATTTCGAGTCTTCACCTGATTCCTTGTGGCCTCTAACCTGCGGCTTTGTGGAGTGATTGCCTTTTGTGCCGGCTGCACAGCTGTCTTCCTTAGATCCCCGTCTCCACTGTTCTGGGGACCCCTTCACCGCCCTGAGCTGGATCTTGTGTTTCCTGGATCCGCACTTCCTCTTCCTTGGTTCACTTCCTCAGTCTGGTGAAGCGTGATGCCCTTCGGCACTTTCTGTGAACGAGCGCGTGGGTGGTGAGTTCTCGAGACCGATGTCTTTGTTCTACTCTGAGTTTCAAATGAATTTGCGAACGGTTTGCCTTCAGAATGTTGAAGGCCTTGCCTTGCTGCTCCTAGGTTCCAGTGTGGATGCTCAGAAATCTGAAGCCATTCCTACTCCTGATTCTCCATTTGTCACCTGCTTGTTCCCTGTGGGCACGCACAGGTGCTCTCTGTCCCCAGGGCTCTGGAGCCTTCGATTGTGCTTTGGCGTGTGCAGCCAGCGTGCTAGGCACGTGGACCGTAAGCTTGTGTGCCCTACATTTGGGGGCGTTTTCTTAAATTATTATATCATCTCTCCTCCATGCTCTGCCCTTTCTGCAACATCCGCTGGTCGGAATGGGTTGCAGCTCTTCTGGTTACTGTGTGTCTGTGTCCTTTATTTTGGAGACATCAGTTTTTCGGTTCGCCCAGTGGGGGTTTCATGTTTGCTAATAGGTTTTTCATGCAAGAGCTCTTTATGATCTCTAAATTTTAATTTAAAAGTGTATACAGCATCCTGCTCCACTTAATGGATACAGTATTTAACCTTTCTGTTTTACTTTTTGTCTTCACGTTGGATGTTTTCCTCACATGTCTGGTAATTCTTGCTTGTGTGTTCGTATTTAAGGGGAGGTCCTTGGGCCCTTACCGGTTTCCCAGTAAATATTGGCAGCTGCCTAAATGGGAATCTCTTTCGTGAAAGTCTCCCCAACACCACATGGACAGGAACAAACCCATCTTTCGCCTGTGCCTGCAGCATAGTGGGGACACAGAAAAAAGTTCAAGAGAAGTATGCGTCTGAAGCTTATTGCCGGACCAGACCTGCGGTGAAGGCAGAATCGGGGAAACCACAGTGAAGGGGCGAAGGCCTGGGGGGCCCAGCGGTGGCAGTACAGGGGGTGGAGGGACACACTGATGAATCTGACACCGGTGTATCGGGAAGAGAAAGTTGGAAAGTTCATGAGACCGCAGGGGGCCTGCTGGGGAAGTACCATCTCAGAGAGGGGACGATGTCTCCTGAATGGAAAGAAATAGGACAGATGCACTCCAGCCCCTCCCACGCCGCCAAGAAAAGTGTGGTCTCAGAAACTGTACTTCACTGCCCCAACAGAAGAGAACACCTCTGGAGTCACCAACCCCAGAAGCCGCACATCCCTGTCCTTGCGTACGTAGAACCAGCTGCACATCCAAGTCAAAGAAAAGGATGTCCTTCAGATGAGCAGAGAAAGGAAGACATCTGTAAACACTGCGCTAAGAAGGAAACGGTGAGAATCAGTTACAGCTCAGGAAAATCCTCTCGTCAACCACAGGCAGAGGAGAACTGGAACAAGACCCAGTCTGGATTAAATGTCTCGAACAGAATTTGGCAGAAATACAAATTAATACCTGAAATTATTAGAAACTCAGAATCTCCGCAAAAGATGGACTAAAAAAAAACAACCCTCCCCCCAAACCCTCAGGAAGCTGTGATGCAAAAGTTCATGTAACTCAGCAAAGAAATAGAAAAAGACAAAATTATCTTAAATTAGCATTAAATTATAAGGTACCCAAGAAAGAATAGATTCGACTGAAAATAAACGAAGGGCATTAAAAGGGATGAAAGCAGCCAAGGGTTCAAAGCAGAGTTAGGGAGAGGGGACGCCCACCTGCACTGCGTGGAGCTTACACAGTGCGGCGGCACTACACAGTGCTGAGGACGGGCCCTCGGCAGAGGCACACCCATGTGGGTGACCCGGGCGTCAGGAAGCTGGACCTCGTTTTCTCGTGGATCCTGTGGAGGCGGCTGTTTGCATATCTGGTGTCAATGCAATTGAACGAGTAAGTGTGGGTGTGTCTTTACAAATGAGTTACTGAAAACCAATTATGGATGTGTCTATATTTATGTATGGAATTACTTTAAATGTATACAAATACATAAAGGAATTTGGTGAGGGATCTTGTATAAAAAATACCCTCCCTGTTGCTTTACTGTGGATGTAGATTCCGATAGACTGTTGGCCTTGGAACGATGCAGGGGTAGGGGTGCCACTCCCGTCAGAAATGACAGGCACTTGCCTCCCCCCAAACTTAACTGCCAATAGCTTGTTGATTGGAAGCCTTGCCAGGAACAGTTGATTAACATGCATGTTGTACATTATGTGTCATACACTCCATTCTTACAATAGAGGAAAACATTTTAAGAAAACCATGAGGAAAATACATGTACAGTATTTATTGAAAAAAATCCACCTGTAACTGGACCTTCCCATGTTGTTCAAGGGTCAGCTGTTTGGAGTTTGCAAGGAATGCCTACAATGTGAGATGATTTGTGTCTTAAGAGTTACCCAGCTTAAAAATATACAAGCTTTGATTCTTTGGAGAACTGTGGAGAAGAGTCAGTGTTCCTTAAGGTGTTCTTGCAAAAGCAGATTAACAGTGGAATTTGAGAGATGCCTAGCCATTTCATTCACTCAACACCTAGGATCTGAGAGGCTCTTTGTTTATGGAATCTCTGGTGTCCTAGGGTGTCCTGGGACGCTTTCCGACTACTGTAGACGATACAGAGCAGTGATAGACACACTGCGAGGAAGAGGGCTGTAATTTCAGAAATAGTAGAAAACTGGATAGCTCTTATCTTGTCTGGAAGACTTCCTGTTGGAAATTACGTTTTGCTCTGTGTGAATATTGGTTTCTTTCTCGCGTAAGACTTTTGTGTCACTGTGCAGAGCGCAAGGTGGAAGGAAAACGAGTGCAGGGAGATGGCAGGTGTCCTGCGGGTGAGTCCTGGCTTGTCCAAATAAGCACACACTCTTGGCTTGCTGTGTTTCCCCTCACAGGACTTGAAATCATAAGCTGTCCTTTCCTTTTTATGAATCAGTTCTGGCAATTATTGTTACAGTCAGTGGGCAAGTTTTTCTCTTGTTCCTTTGGAGTTCCTTTGCCTTGAGGTATATCAGAGAAATTAACTTAGCAAGAGCGCCACCTGCTGTTCAGTAAGCAAGAGGGTAAATCTTGCAGTGGGTTTCGCACCAGCACTGAAGCAAACAGTAGTTTGTTTCTGTATCACATTATACAATATTGTATATTTTAGTTATGATATGGTTCCAGAATCACTTAAAAGAAGCTTTTTATTTCATGAGATGAGGAAGTATGTAATCATGGAACTTCTAATATTCTAGTGGAATATTAGCAAAAAAAAAAAAAAGCAAGAGCTAATCTCATTGCATCTTTTTGTTAATACCAACTCCCTAGGCAATTTAATCTGTTAATAATTGTATGTTGGTTTCCCTTCGTGTGGTGTATTTGCCGCTTGTCAACAACCACAGCAAGTTGCTACAACAGCAACAGTAGCCTCAAGGACAAGAATGGAGGCAGGATAACAGGAGACCACTGCCTCTCCATAGTGATCAACAAACTACAAAAAGCTACAGTAGCTTTGTTCTTCCAGCAGCCCAATGAGATACAGCAGCTGATTCACCTTGACATTCTGATCTACTTAAAAATCCTGTCAGCTTTGGGAAAAAGTGTCAGAGCCTTGGAACAATGGAACATTTTTTTGTCCAGACAAAACACTCTGAATTTATAGTTAGTTTTGCTAGATAACATATAACCTTGACTTTAAAAATTCAAACTAAAGTCTGCTGTCCATCTACCCAAAATGAAGGGCCATAGCCTTTAAAGACTGGCCCAGAGTCATTACCTCTGTGTTAGGGTAGAACTTTGCTGTAAAAGGGAAAAACCTAAATCAATAGAACAGACACTATTTCTTTAATATAATATAGCAAATGAACCAGATTTGGAAGTAACAATTACTAGTGTGCAAGTTTTTTCAAAAGATTTTAGCAGATTAAAATGAAGGCTTATTTAATTCCAAATTTAACTTGTTTTTTTTCTTCAGCTAACATATTTCCATCATCCCTTAAAACTGACCAATTCTTGCCCTGACCTCTGTGGTTCAACTGGTTGGGCATTGTCCTGCAAAGTGAAAGGTCACTGGTTCAGTCCCGTCAGGGCACATGCAAAAGGCAACCAATCAATGATTCTCTCACATTAATGTTTCTCTCCCTATCTTTCTTCCTTCCCATTTCTCTAAAAAATAGAATCTTAAAACAAAAAAAACGCTAACCAACCCTTTACACCTAAATATTTCTCCAGCCCAGTCCCTCCATCCCTGCCACGGCCTTTCTTCCTCTTATGTGGCCCCCGGGAAATCCATCAAAGCACTTCTCAAATGTTGACCTGCCTGATCCCCAGTGCCCCACCCCCGCCTGAACCAACAGGTGTGTGTGACCAGGGAGGACACGAACTGGACCTGAGACGGGGTCTCAGCCCTCAACATTCCGCCTAGGTGCATCTGTCCTGTCCAGTCTTTCTCCTCCTGCCATTTCAGCTCACATTGTGTACTCTTCCTTTGGAACAGCTTCGTGCTCCCAGTACAACAGGCCGGCCTGTTTCCACATCTTTCTGGTGTTCCTTCTTTTTGTAAGGCCCTTTCCACCCTCAGCTGGCCCTAGAGCAGCTCAGATGGCATCTTCTCCGAGAAACATCTGAAGCCCTGGGCTGTGCTGATTGTCCTTAACTCCCCACAGCACCTGGCAGAAACCTGTGCTGACACTGTTAGGGTTAATCTGCTTTTGGTTCCCTCCCCAGGTAGGCTGCAAAGCTACTTGAGGACACAGACTGTCTTATTTACATTGTAACCCCAGAACCTTGTACAGTTTGGCTCAAAAATGTTTAACTGCGCCCCGGATGGGGTGGCTCACTTGGTTGGAGCGTCATCGATGAACTGAAAGGTTGCAGGTTCGATTCCCAGTCGGCACATGCCTGGCTTGCAGGAGACGCAACTGATGCTCCTCTCTTGCATCGGTGTCCCCCGCCTCCCCCTCTCTAAAATCAGTAAGCATGTCCTCAGGTGAGGATAAAAACGGCAATGTTTAACTGCACACAATTTGTTAAACTGAATTAGAAAAAAAGTTTAACAGCATTTATTCAACATAATATGTGTTTTAGGTCATATATTTATTAGTATTATTTTTCAACTTCATACTTAAAACATCAAAACTTGCGACCTCTCAGGCTACAATGACAAGGACTGACGATGACGCTAACAAGTAGACAACTGCAGCTCTCACGCACTGTTGTAGGAGCATACACCGGCAGTACGCACTAAGGCTACCCAACAGCCACACCCTGTGACCCAGCAATCCAGCCCTGAGTATAGGCCCAGCAGAAATGACCGGAGTGTTCTTGGCAGCAGCATTTTTGTAATAATAGCCAGCTCCAGCTGGAAATAATTCAAACGTCCCTTAATGTAGAATGGATGTATAAGCCTTGGCATGTTCACAGATACTGTGCTTCGCATACCAACAAAGAAGTACTTTATGAAGTTCAAAAATGAGTGAAACAGACCTGTGGCAACAGAAGAAAACAGGTCATTCGGGGTTGTGGGGATTAGGAAGGCAAAGGCACTGGTGAGGACACCTTGGGTGGCAACCGACAGTCACCCAGCTCCACGGTAAAGCACTCTGCACCTTCCGTACGGACAAGTCACAGTGCACCGCAGTGAAGGAAAGAACACCTGAGAGCATGCCAGGGCGCTGGAAGTACGGCCCCGACACAGAAGTCAACTGACAGAAGTGTGTGTGTCCCTTTGCTAGAACATGAAAACAATCTTAAGTGTGTCTAAGTAAACAAATGGTATTCCTTTTATTGTAACAGTTTCAGCCTTGGCTTAAAGGGTCATAATGTGTTCAGTAATGTTCCATGTTACATAAACTAGGTTTGCTATGTTATATACACTAGTCACTTAGCACCAAATTTTTAGCCACTCATTTTGCTACATTCTGAGAAAAGTAAACTCTGGCCTACAGAATTACAGTGGTTATTTCTTACTAATAATACTCCAAAAGAATTTTGTTTTACTATCCTCTATCTACTTTACAGTCTGGCGCCAAACAAATAAAACTCCTTAAAATATATAAAATGTATTTCCTGTTAAGATTTGGGAGGAAAAATTTTTAAAAACTTAAAAACTACCTGAGTTCACAGCATACTCTGCACTCTAGATTGTATTTTCGGTCAATATGCCTAACACTATAAACACTAACAGCACTGGGAATGAGTTTTAACATTCATAAGGGAATATTGAATTTAACCAAATACTTAATTTCTTATTAAATATTTTGAGGAAAGTGCAAGTAAAAAGATCAACAGATTTTAAAAGCTTTAAGAGCAGGCAAGAACAAAAGTATCTGAAATTGTGCCTGTAAACATATAGAGAACTCTGGGCTACAGTATATATAAGGCAAGAGTGACTATAAATACAGGGACTTTAGAGAGATACTTTATATTACAATGTCAAATGTACCTATGAAATAGAACATTTTGTGCTGGTTGCGTGAACTAGAGCACAAACTACAAATCTTAGTGTTACCCAGAACTTCCTGAGGGGCTGGCACTGCACCGGTGAGGTATCAGAGGAGGTACGTGAGACCCACTTGTTTTCAGAGACTGTTGCTGCTTTTGACTTTGCTGCTGTCGTCTTCAAGGCAGAGGTCCAGGTGCTCGTTGATCTGAGACTCCACCACTTCGCTCTGACAGACAGGACAGCTGACCGTCCTGCTGGGACCGGACCAACTGCTGGAATTCTGCGCCGCGGCCGCAGGGTGCGAGCTGCACTCCGGAGCGCTCCCCCCGCTCTGTGTTTTCTCTTTCTTGATGAAGAATCTGTCAAAAACAGTCTTGTCCTCCAGCCTGGGTCGTTTACTCAGGAATTCGTTTGTAGGCCCACTCGCGCCCGGCGAGGCACACGTCGATTCCACTGCTTTTAGAGCATTTCTCAGAGCCGTCTTCGAGGCGGACGCCTTCCTCTGAGAACCAGAAGAGATGGAGTTTTTACTGACGTCACCAACGACTACACTTTTCCTTGGGGACCCAGTCATACTCCTGAAGGCCTTCGGACTGGCAGCTGACACTCTAGGAAAGTAGTTGCTTAAAACATTCTGGGGACTGCTGCTGAGAACAGGAGAGACCAGAGAGGTGGTTTTCCTGGAGCCACTCTGTTCCAATTTCAGCTCGGCTTTAGGGTTTGGCCTTCCGGCGTCTGTTGAGTGGTCCTGACTCAGATGATCTCGGGTGTCCGTGAGTGCACGTGGAGCGGCGCAGTTCCCAGACGAAGGGGTGCCGTTTGTTTCTCCCAGAACATGTCCTTTCCCGCTGAATGGGACGACTCTGTTGGGTTTACCTGCAAAAGAGAACCAAGTAAAGTTTTCCTTAATACAGCAACAAATATTAAGCCACAGGGTAGCTTCTGAAAATGAAGAAATGCTGTTTCATCCCGATTTAGATCCATATAACTACCTACTAATGAAAAAAAAAGACCCTTGAGCAGTTCGAGAACTCGTACTGGAAACGTAGAGGACAGAACACACGCTCCGCTATTTATAGACACGGCGTTCCACCTTGCAAAGGCCAACGCAGACTTTTTTAGGTTTTCACAGCAGGGGGAAATCCTGCCACCACACTCGCTTCCTCCTCACAACAAGGAGAACGTAACCTCTCCACGTAAATTCTTGTACAACTCCACAACTTACCATGTCAGATTTGGGAGATACAGCTTAGGCCCCTCGGTCCTACCACATCAAATCAGCGACTTCCCAAGGGAAGAGGCATTTTTAATAATAACCTGGTTACCTCTCAAAAGGCAGGGACTCTGAACTTCAGGCTGAAGATGAAGTCCTAGCACACACGTCACACTCTTCTCCCAGTGACAGTACAGACATCCGGAGAAGTCACCTGGGCAGAATCCAACTGATAGGAAGGGCTGTCGTGACGGCTTGCATTCCGGGCATTGTTTTTTGAATGACTGTTTTTATTTTGACAATCTTTTTGCCTCATGTTTCCAAGTGACTCACTGAGTCAAGATAAGGAAAGGGATTTTACCCTCAGCTATTATCAGTGGAAACGATTTCTACTTTTACTTCCACCTACAAAGAGCAAAGGATATTTTTCTACCATCAAAGTCTATACCCAAAAGCTTCTAGACACAATCCTTAAGCTTCTCCTAATACCTGTTCTCTAGAGGACAGTCCTGTGGTCCTCACACCGCAGCTATGGCTGCGGGAGAGCTGGGAGAACGTACACCGAGTTACCTTTATTCTCCGCTGCTGCTGGCCTGGTCTTCCCCTTGCCTCTTCTGGAGTAGTTCTCTGGCTCCCTGATCTTCACGTACGTGCCTCCGCAGGTGCTCTGGTGCTCGGCCCACCAGTAGTCGTGCGCAGAGGGCGCCCTGTTGGTCGCCCGCTTGACGTAGCCGTAGTAGGGCTTCCTGAACTGGCAGGGCCCGTCACAGCGCCACCAGTGCCGCCGGTACTCGTCCACCTCGTCGTGGAAGGTGTGGTACACCTGGGGGAAGGGAAGGTCTCAAGTGAACACAAGTGAACCATTTTCAGAAAATATGTAAGAACCTTTTTTAAAGCTTTCCAGTTTCCCAGAGCTTTCTGAAGTTTTATTTTGGGAAAGACAGCAACTATATTTAGCTTCTGTTCAAAAGTTCATTTTAATGGGAAAGAGCAGCAGCTAACTTAATACTTCATATATGAACTGTGTCAAGACTGACAAATGTGGACCAAAGAGAAAAAAAGTACAGAAAAACACAAAGCCTTTTATACGTGCTAGAAGTTTTAGAAAATTTCAAAGGACCAAAAGTTAGGGTGAAGACAAGAGTTTAATGCCATAGTAAGTAAGAATGGTCCCCTATGAGTATTAACCTGAAAGGGTTCTGAAGGACTGTTTCTGTACATGCTGGGCCCCCGACGACACAAGCGTCTTGCCCAGGGCAGCCCCTGCTGACCCCTCTCTGCGCGTCCGCACAGCTGTTTGCTCGTGTCTTTGAGAGAAGCTTGTGGGCCATCATGTTGTCTATTTACAGATGGAACAGTCTCCAGGGTCCGAATGCTTTCATCTTCGTGTCCCTAGTGGCTAATACGAGCTTGGCACAGTGAGGGTGTGCTCAGCATTCGCTGACAGAGAGCTGCATTCCCCGAGTTGAGCAAAATTCCCTGTGAATGTACATTCCACTCCTCACTCAGGATCATTTTGTCTCACCCCCTGGACGAAATCTTACTTAGAACTCAAGCAGAAGACAGAGAAAAGTTTTGATGGAAAGGAAGGTTAGCCCTCCCACCTGGGTGGCAATGAGGATGGCAGGGCACCATTTAAAAGACGCTCCTAAATGACAGTGAGTACCCGTTCTTCTGGATTCTCGGGGGGACATTAGGATCTGCATAAAATAAGGAGTATCTGCTTATGAGGTTTTTTAAATCAAAGACAATGTAACTTTTTAATAAATTCCCCTTGTAGGAAAGAACGCTCAGCTTTCCATAACTCTATAGATAAATTCTGTTACTTGGCAAGCATGCAAACAAGGCATGTTATAGTCAGAGAAGAGACTGGAGGACAAAGGTTTGGGGCAGAGGGATATAAGATGCTGCTTTTTCTCACACTGAGAACTCTGCTTACTGAGCCACTGACAAAAAATCCGGGAATTGGATCTGTTTTGCTTCCAACTCCTGTAACTCCTACAGCCTGGGAGTGTGACTTTTTAACAATGTAGTCACTAAAATAAAAATGTTCTGCAATGCGAACCTGAATGCCCTGTGGAGTTTGTTATAACAGGATGTAACCTGACAAAGCCAGGGTGTCCACTCGATCAAACCCCTCCGGCATGAAAACATGCAGGCATCCAAGATAAAAGAATGTGTCCTCTCCCCGCTGAGCAATAGGAAGTGCACCAGGTCTCTGCTTCGAGTGCCAGTTCTAATGAAGAAGGTGGAAGCCTTTTATACCGACAACTCCATAATTTTTTTGTTAATCTGGATCTTATGTGATTGTTTTTTAGTGCAAGCCACTTTCTTGATGGTGAAAGGAACTGTGCCCACTAACTGTATGAGTGCTTTAGAAAGTTAACACTGACAGCTAGAAAAAAATACATCGAGTGTGAGCACTTCTCATTCTCCGTCATATTGGCCTTTACTGCATTTAAAGGAAGGAAAAACCCAAAATAGAGAAGAATTTTTTTAATGTTTCAATTGAATTTTAAAGAGGAAAGGGGGAGAAAGAGAGAGGCAGGGAGGGAGGGATTCATTTGTTGTCCCACTTATTTATGCATTCACTGGTTGATTTTCATGTGTGCCCTGACTGGGGATTAAACCTGCAACCTCGGTGTGTGGGGATGATGCTCTAACCAAGTGGCTACAAAATGCCAAAGGATTTAATCTACGTAGGAATGAGTGTTCTATTCAGTTCACTTGTAGGGGGCTAGCTACATTAAATACCTCATGTAGAGGTCCAGAAAGAGCAGGAAGAGTGGCCCTGTTTTCGGAGATACGACAGCAGAATAAAATACTGGCGAAGGTTCGGTGTCTGCCGAGGAGACTCACAGGACACAGAAGGTAGAGCCCAGTGGAAGGATGAGGGCTTGCTGACAACAGAAGCGGTGCGTTTTAGGGAGGGGTTTTGGAGGAAAGGCACGGAGGCGACAAGTTCCGCCAGAGACACGAGACCTGAGCAGGGGAGTCGTGGGAGGTAAGGCAAAAGCAACGGAGCACTCACTTGATAAAATGAATTAACAACAATAAAAACAACTATTAGAACGCAAACTGCACAAATGCCTTGCGTGTATTTTCTAATTAGATCCTCACAAGGACCCAACAGACAGGACTGTGTATCTCCTCATTCACGGTGTCCGCCCTGCGGCCCTCGGGCCACGTGCGGCCCAACACAAAACTGTAAATTTACGTAAAACATTATGAGGTTTTCTTGTGATTGCGTGTCGCAATGTATTTAATGGGTGCCCAAGACAACTCTTCCAGCATGGCCCAGAGACACCACGAGGTCGGCCACCCTGCCGTGTCAGTAACTGAAAGGTAGGAGAGGTAAACTACGCAGGCCCCGCTGCCAGTGACCAGTGTCTGAGCCCAAGCAACCCGACTCCTCGTGCTGTCTGGACCCCAGGCTCTGCCATCTCCCACTACACTGACACGGGGATCCAGGGAGACCGCTGAGGAACGGAAGGACGTAAGACACGGGAGCAGAATCCAGGGCGGACTGGAGGAGGAGACTAAAGGGAACAGGCCTGGGGAGAGGGCTCGCAGGCCTCGGACGTGGCTGGCCGTGCTGCCGCTCCACTCCGCTCCTCCTAGACCAGCCGGCCGCTTCCCAGGGCCTCTCACTCGCAGGCCGGCCCTCCGGGACAGTATTTGTTCTCCCCAGTTCTCCATGTTTGACCAGATCCCAGGAATGACTACAGGAAGAAACTCGAACTATCACAGATGCGTGTGGCCCCGCCTACCGTGATGTTGGCCCCCGTCAGGCGGTTGATGCGATGCATGTGCTTACAAAACTCGGGGCCGTGCCCTTCCCGGTCTTTGTCGTTGTTGGTGACAAACAAGTAGGCGTGTATCATTTCATGCAGGAGGGTCTGAAACAGAAAACAATCAATTTGTGACACTTTTGAAATAAAAATGCATCTTTCTACTCTACCTGGGGCCTCACCCTTCTTTGGCTCCCAGGCTCCTTCCAGAAGCTGATAAGAAGTCCTGAGCCATCTTTCTAGAAAACATCCTTGCACACATGCGCAGCACTGTGTGCAGAGCAGCTGCAGCTCTGCGGAGCCCAGCGTGGGCTCCCTGTTCCAGGAGCCGCTTTTCATCTGTGCAGCGAAATCCAGAAGAAGAGGCCAATGAGCTCACTGCATAAAAATTTTATAGTTCTCACTATGATTTACATAATCAGAACATTTGAACACCTGAGAAGGGGAAAAAAAATTCACAATTCTGTCTGAGGAAAAAAAACACCTTAAGTGAACAAACTCAGAAAAATACATGTGCAACTCATCTCCTAGGCTACTAATTCCTAAACTATCAACAGCTCCTCAAGTCAACAGGGAAACAACCAATTTTAAAATGGGCCGTGGTCACAAAGTTCACAGAGAAAGGAATGTAAATAACCCATTCACATGAAAAAAATGTTCAACTCCATTTCTAAAACAAAGCCAAATTAATACTATACTAGTATACCACTTCTTGTTTATCAAATCCGTAAAGCTGGTAAGTTACTTAAAATAAAAACAATAAAAAGTCAGTAAAGTTTGACACCACCACTAAAGCTAAGGAAAACAAATATCCCCACATACCTCTGGTAGGAGTGCAGAATAGCACAACTCCTAGGGAGAATTTGGGAACACCTAACGAAATTACAAGTGCTTTTTATCCTTTTACCCAGCAATACCCCGACTAATACAAAAGGTCTTATGTCCTGAGTATTTTCATTGTGGCATTGTTTGCAACAGCAAGAACTTAGAAATAAGTGTTTAGCACTAGGGGCCTGGTTGAATGAACTAGGGTACATCCACATAATGGGATACTGTGCAGCCATAAAGAAGAATGAAAAAGATCTCTATGAAATGATTTGGGGAAACCAACTGAGTGTATTGTTTTAATGTCAAGTTTTAAAACAAGCTAATAAAACCAACTGCACTCCACACCAAGGATGGAGAAATTTAAGTGCAAAATTAACAAAAGCACTTAAAGCTGCTGTTTCACAATTTGTTCTAAAAATTGCAAATACATTTTAAACTGTATTTTATTGTTGATGCTGTTACAGTTGTCCCAGTTTTGCCCCCTTTGCCCTCCTCCACCCAGGCCTCCCACTCCGTTGTCCATGACCGTGGGTCACGCATGTACGTTCTTCGGCTGCCCTCTCTCCTGAGCTGTGCTTCACATCCCCATGACTGTTCTGCGACCACCAGCTTGTACTTCTCAGTCCCCTCACCTCTTTTGCCCATTTCCCCGAACACCCTCCCATCTGGCAACCATCAAAATGTTCTCCGTACCTATGATTCTGTTTGTTCTGCTTGTTTATTTCGGTTTTTAGATCCCACTGTTGACAGGTATGTATTTATGGCCATTTTATTGTTCATATTTTTATTCTTCTTAAAGAAGACCTTTAACATTTCATATAATACTAGTTCGATGATGATCAACTCCTTCAGCTTTTTCTTGCCTGAGAAGCTCTTTCTCTGTCCTTCAGTTCTAAATGATTGTTTTGCTGGGAAGAGCAATCTTGGTTGGAGGCCCTTGCTTTTCATCACTTTGAATACTTCTTCCCAATCCCTTCTAGCTGATTCAGAAATCAACTGTCAGTCTTACGGGATCTCCCCTATAGGTAACTAACTCCTTTTCTCATGCTTCTTTTAAGATTCTCTTTGTGTTTAACCTTTGGCATTTTAATTATGATGTGTCATTTTTATTTAGGGTTGTTAGGGTATTTTTATTTAATAATTTTATTATTATAAAATGCCCCTCTTTTTTCTTAGTAAAACTTCTTCCCTTAAAATCTTTAGTCAGGTACTAATATAACCACAACTTTCTGTTGTTAAGTGTTTGGATGATACACTTTTTTTTTATCTTTCCAAATTGAACATATGAGTTTTTAAGTGTGTCTCTTCTAATCTAGTATGTTACTCCGTATCTTTAATTGGGGTGTTTAGTCTTTATATTTAATATAATTACTGATATTGTGTTTAATATAATTACTGATATATGCTTACCTTTCTTTTTCTCTGGCCTTTGTTCCTTTACTCCTTTATTTTTTTTTTTAAATTAACCAAGCACTTCCAGCTTACCATTTTACATTCGGTAGCTATTTACTTTTTTAAAAATTGTGGTAAAAAACCACCAACATAAAATTTACCATCTTACTCATTTTTAAACGTACAGTATGTTATGTATATTCTTTATTGTGAAACCGGTTACATTTTATTACCCTTAAAAACAGCATCCCTTCTTTTTCCCAAGCACACTTGAACATATTTCCCATCCAACCTCCACCACCCTATGCTCTTCTGTGCTTACATTTCAAGTGGGATAATTGGGGCAAGACAAGTCACCCTGTGTGCATCTTGGAGACTTCCACGCATTTACAAGCCTGGACTACAGAGTTTCAACAGCTGCATTAGGGAGCAGGAGGGACCACCACCTCCGGCTGTGAAGAGCAGCCTCACACCAGCTTGTTCTGCCAGCTCAGCGGTACTTCCTGGCAGCACCACAGGTGATTAGCAGAAGAGAAAAATTTGGATTCTTAAGTTTTTCTGTTTCTAAATATGCAACTTAAACCAGCTGTTTAACCTCTCTGAACCTTAATTTCCTTAAGTATAAAAATGAGGATAACACATTGCAATTTGTAAATCATTGTAAATATCAAAATTAGATGATATACCTGAAAGCCTTTAACTTTGAAATACTATAAAAATATAAGACAATCATTACTATTTGCCCACAATTAAAGTTTGCAATGAGAGACTACGGAATCTTTTTTTACATGCACAAACAGGTTAATTAAGTCTAAATCAGTAAGAATTTCTAAATTACTGGGCTAAGAATCAGGTTTATGCAAAGAATACCTCCACAAGATCCTTTCTTGGCCTCAACTTCAAAAGGGGTTCGCTGAGACGTACGGAACACATCCCACCTCTCCCTTCATAGGTGCATACCCCAGCACACCTGAAAGACAACCACCGCCAGAGCGTTATTTGCCAAACACATACAAAAAGGGAAACATGAAAAATCAAGTCCTTATACATTTCTTGAGCAGTTCACACAAGAGAACTCCATGGCAGGCGGCTTTCTTAAAAGCACTCCCCACGTTGTTAAAAGAGACCTGCATCTCACCCCAGGCAGGGCGCTACGTGAGCGGAAGTGACTTCCCCTCCCCCAGCCAGACTGCAAAAGCTCAGGGAAGATAAGGTTCTGCCGCTCCCGTCTCCTCCCCACGAACTATCATCACTTGGTGGCGGTAACAGCCCCATCTCCACCAACCCTTTCCAAAGCTGTAACAGTCTGACTTTTAGCTTGAATGCTACCTAAGTTTTAGGTAGTACATAACCACCTCTTGAACGTGTTAATAAAACTCCGTTCACGTACAGGCCTACACGTTCATATCGGGATTTCTCCAACTCAGAGTGTGGGAAAGGGATCCAAGGGGCGCCCCTGAAGACCCCTGGGGTCTAGAACTATGGGAATGCCACCCCGCCCCCAACTAAAACGCCCAGCTCACTGCTAAGTGATGGTGTCCTAACGGCACAGAAGAAAGGACAAGTCCTGAGCCCTAAGGAACCAGCAAAAAACAAATCAGAGAGGTGCTCACTGATTTTCAAATGAGGTGAGATTCCTAGAAACACCCTTTTTTCTCAGCGTGTCCGTGGTAAGTCAAACGATAGCGATATGGGCCACACAGCTTTCTTAAAGCTACTTCAGGGGGAGAGAGACGGCAGGGACGGAGAAATACACCAGAGGAACCGCTTGGTCCAAAACCGGAGCCCTCGTTTAACTGCCCTGGGTCCGTCGGGGGTGGGGGAAGGGAGAGAGGAGGAGCCCTGCCGGCCTCCCCCGCACCCCACGGGTTGGGGACTCACAGGGTCATTCGCCTGCTCCACTTCACCTCCACGGCCTCCAGCTGGCCCCAGAAGAACCGATCGTTGAACTGCACAAACAGGGCCTGCAGATCCGGCGTGGGATCCACCAACTCCCAGGACTCGTCCACCAGTGATAGGGGCTCCTGGGCCGGACTGAGCTTCGGAACCGGCAAGTTCCACTCCTCTTGAAGCCGCAGTGCCAAAACTAGGTCCTCATCCATCGTTGCCAGGCTCCAAGGCGGGGTCCGCCAGCGTTAGGCTCGCTCCCGGGCGCTGCTTCCCTTCACTAAGGCTCCAAGGCCCGCGTAGAGATCTTAGAAAATACCGGCTGTTGGGCTATCGGCTCAGCCTGCGGGTCTCGCGAGAACTCAGGGGTAATTGGCTCGAGAACGAGAACTGAGTTTGCCCCAAATGCGGAAGGCAAGATTCTGAAGTTTAAGAAAAAGAACTCAGCACGACACCTTCTAATGGGCTCAAAACCTGGGTTCCCAGAACTCGGGCCAAGGAAGGCTTCAGGAAGCTGCTACCACCTCACAACACGTCCGTAACTTCAAAAACGTCACGGCAAGCGCATGTGCAGTATCTGCATCGCTCTCGGCCTCGCCCACATTCACTTCCGCGTTAGCTCCTCCAGCGCAAGCGCTTTGGCCACTGGCGTTTCCGCGCAGGCTCACTGTCTGGGTTCGGTTCGTTGCGCAGGCGCACTATCTGAAGCTCAGACTCCGGCGCAAGCGTACTCTATTCCTTTCCAATCCTGCTTCCTCAGCCCCAGAGCGCCGCTGGGCTTGGGTGGGCCCCGGCAACAAGGGCACCGGCAACAGCGAGAGTGACAGCGTCTGCGTGAATCGTGGGCGGAAATGGCGATGGCGATGTCGGACAGCGGGGCGAGCCGCCTGCGGCGGCAGCTGGAGTCGGGAAGCTTTGAGGCGCGGCTGTACGTGAAACAGCTCTCGCAGCAGTCAGACGGGGACCGGGACCTGCAGGAACACCGGCAGCGCATCCAGGCCCTGGCGGAGGAGACAGCGCAGAACCTGAAGCGTAACGTCTACCAGAACTACCGGCAGTTCATAGAGACGGCCCGTGAGATCTCCTACTTGGAGAGCGAGATGTATCAGCTCAGCCATCTGCTGACTGAGCAAAAGAGCAGCCTGGAGAGCATCCCGCTTACCCTGCTGCCGGCTGCTGCTGCCGCCGCCGGGGCCGCAGCAGCCGCCGGAGGTGAGGAGGGAGGAGGGGGCGCAGGGTGCCGAGACCACCGCCGGGGCCAGGCTGGTCTTTTCACCACCCCCGGCGGCGCCTCCCGCGACGGCGCGGGTCCGGGCGAGGAGGGAAAGCAGCGCACTCTCACCACCCTGCTTGAGAAGGTGGAAGGCTGCAGGCACCTGCTGGAGACGCCTGGACAGTACCTGGTGTACAACGGGGACCTGGTGGAATACGAGGCGGACCACATGGCCCAGTTGCAGCGGGTACACGGCTTTCTCATGAACGACTGTTTGTTGGTGGCCACCTGGCTGCCACAGCGGCGAGGGATGTATCGCTACAACGCCCTCTATCCCCTGGATGGTTTGGCCGTGGTCAATGTCAAGGACAACCCGCCCATGAAGGACATGTTCAAGCTGCTGATGTTTCCTGAGAGCCGCATTTTTCAGGCAGAAAATGCTAAAATCAAACGAGAGTGGCTGGAAGTGCTGGAAGAAACCAAGAGGGCTCTCAGTGAGAAAAGACGAAGGGAGCAGGAGGAGGCGGCAGCTCCTCGAGGGCCGCCCCAGGTGACTGCCAAAGCTAACCCGTTTGAGGATGAAGACGACGACGAGCCAGCCGTTCCTGAGGTGGAAGAAGAGAAGGTGGACCTCTCCATGGAATGGATCCAGGAGTTGCCTGAAGACCTGGATGTCTGCATCGCCCAGAGGGACTTCGAAGGGGCCGTTGACCTGCTTGATAAGTTGAACAATTACCTAGAAGATAAGCCCAGTCCACCTCCGGTGAAAGAACTGAGGGCCAAGGTGGATGAGCGCGTCCGACAGCTTACCAAGGTGCTCATGTTTGAACTGTCCCCTGGTCGTTCCCTGAGAGGTGGCCCGAAGGCGACACGCCGGGCAGTTTCTCAGCTCATCCGGCTTGGCCAGTGCACGAAGGCCTGTGAGCTGTTTCTGAGGAACAGGGCCGCGGCAGTGCACACGGCCATCCGCCAGCTTCGCATTGAAGGTGCCACTTTACTTTACATTCACAAGCTGTGCCACGTCTTCTTCACCAGCCTCCTGGAGACCGCAAGGGAATTCGAGACGGACTTCGCGGGCACCGACAGTGGCTGCTACTCTGCCTTCGTGGTCTGGGCAAGATCGGCCATGGGCATGTTCGTGGATGCTTTCAGCAAGCAGGTGTTTGACAGTAAGGAGAGCCTTTCCACAGCAGCTGAGTGCGTCAAAGTGGCGAAGGAGCACTGTCAGCAACTCGGTGACATCGGACTGGACCTCACCTTCATCGTCCACGCCCTTCTCGTGAAAGACATCCAAGGGGCCCTGCACAGTTACAAAGAAATCATAATCGAAGCCACCAAACATCGCAACTCGGAGGAGATGTGGAGGAGGATGAACCTGATGACGCCGGAGGCCCTGGGCAAACTCAAAGAGGAGATGAAGAACTGCGGGGTGAGCAACTTCGAGCAGTACACGGGGGACGACTGCTGGGTGAACCTGAGCTACACGGTGGTTGCTTTCACCAAACAGACCATGGGCTTCTTGGAAGAGGCCCTGAAGCTGTATTTCCCAGAGCTGCACATGGTACTTTTGGAGAGCCTGATGGAAATCATTTTGGTTGCCGTTCAGCATGTGGATTACAGTCTTCGGTGTGAGCAGGATCCAGAGAAGAAGGCTTTTATCAGACAGAACGCATCCTTTCTGTATGAAACAGTCCTCCCCGTGGTGGAGAAAAGGTTCGAAGAAGGCGTGGGGAAACCCGCCAAGCAACTCCAGGACCTGAGGAATGCGTCTAGACTTATTCGTGTGAATCCTGAGAGCACCACCTCTGTGGTCTGACGCTTGGCTCTGTTTACATGTGCGCATATATATTGTTTCTGTATTATTTATATTTATATTAAGTCGCATTCGCATTTTCTCTGTAGTCTCAAACACAGCTTAACCATAAAAGGTGCCCTCTCAGATAGAAATCCAAAAGGAGAAAGAAAAAAGTGTTAAACCCAAATAACAAAAATGTTGCCATTAATAAAATATATACTATGCTTTCCTTTTAAGTTATGCTAACTCTGTAATGACTATATTGTCACACTGTATCATCTTAGCTTATCCTTTCAGTCAAAACACACTTTCTCATAGTACATGCTGTGCAGCACAGGGAAGTAACATGTCTAAGTATTTTATGAAAAGTTTCCCAGTTTGCTAAAATGTTAGATTTCTTAAAGGGTCCAGTGCCATATAAAACACTCTGCTTCATGTATTTTCCCACCTTAAAATATGATTAAACAATTTGCGGGAGGGAGATGAGAAAATTGGTTTTAGGGTAAATTTTGTTCAAAAGAATTCCTTCCTGAAAGTAGCTAGGGGGTGCGCGCAGATACTCTGACCCATGTAGCACACATGAGGAAACATTCTTAGAACAGCCCAGCAAACTTCCAGTGTGATTTAAATGGCTACTTATTTTCAGCTGCTAATTAGCAGCTTTATAGTATTTGATTTGGGAGCATTGACTTGAAAATCTTAAGGACTATGACAAATATTTTTTCAGCATATTCCTGAACTGTGTGAATGTCTGTCCATCTAGGGCTTTTGTCTCTATCATTAAACATTATAATAATAGTAATAAAAACAGGACACATTAAGGAACCTGGCAGCACCAGTAATTTTCAGCTGCCCCTCCTCCCTTCTGTAGTGGCTCAAACTTCATGCAAATGGGAGAAAAGTTTTCATTGAAATACATATTTAGATACCAGGATCTGGTGGATGGGAAATGAGAAATTAGCAAGCCCCATACTGTTCTCAAGTGTAACTGCTTCGAGCAGAGAATTGTGTTTGCTGTTTTGGTAACAAAGTGGAGAACAGAAAGGTGAGGTTTTTCTCCCAAAACCGAGGGAGAAAAAGACCCTTCTTATGACTCTTAGAATGCCCTGGGCTGCATTTTTCTTGTTTTATCTTTTATTTGCCTTATTTTTTTTAAAGGAACATAATCCTTACTTCAGATTGTTTAACCAAGGAAACTTGAACTTCCCAAGATTTCTAACCTATTGCCTCTGTTGTGTATCGATTCTACGATGCTGCTCCGACCCTGAGAGAAACCGTGCTGGCGGAGGTCCGGCTTTTCCCAGCTACGAGTCTTGACTCTTGTTTATAGGTGCCATTTCTGATGCCAGTTACTTCAAAGGGTCATTTCTTTTATCCGAATAAAAATAGTGGTCTTCAGACTGAGGAAATTACGTAAAACCTCACATAGCTTCCAATACTGGCTTAGTTACAGTTGTAAAACTCCCTGACATAATTTTACTCAGGCCAGAGGAGCCTTTTATTTTATGTTTACCTCTGCCCATTTAAAAGGTTGAAAATGATCAAAGTTAGAGATTTTCTCTAAGTTTTTTTACATCACTTGGGGATTTTCTAGATAATAACCATACTGGATATCTCTGCTGAACAAAAAGTTATAATTTGTCTTTTTTAAGATCACTAGAAACTTGAATTTAATAAAAACTTTGTGATTATTTTGTGCCACTGAACAGTTTCTAAAATGATAATGTGTGAAACACATATCATGTCCATACTTGATGCTGGGTCCATAAAATGATCGTCTGAAATGAAAACTTCTTTGAAGGCGTGGAGTCGTAAAAACCTAACTGTGGATACTCAGATACTGGAATGGTTGCTTCTTCATAGAACTGTCTGCTTTTTAAAACTGGAAGTCAGAATTTCCTTCTGGTAGAACGTATGTGTTCCTTCGTCAAAGTTGGAGCTGAAGGAAGTGTGCTTTTGGTGGATCAGTTAGTGGCGGGGGCGGGGGGGGGGGGAGGTTAAGACCCCCACTGTGAAGAGTGCACCTGTGCACTGGGACAGCGCGATTATATGGCCGTCCCTTGGAGTGGGGTCAGAGCTCTTCTCTCTCCTTTTCGTTTCATTAGACTCCAAGGCTAGTGCTCAAGCTTGAATGCACTTAGAGATCACTCGGAATGTAGCACGAGCTGTAACAAACCACTGAGGGCTGACTGCCTTACTTGCTGGCCTCCAACATAACACTGTCGCTTGACCTTGGAGTCACAGACTGGACTGAACTCACTACTGTTGAAAAAAGACACCCTGTGGAATTAAGTCTCTCTTTGATTAAAGCTTCCTGTCCCGTAAGTGCTGAAAACTCTTGTTTTTGTTTAAAAGAGCACCTGTACTTACATGATCAGCATTTGTATTTTGCAACTTGCTTAACTGGGATTGGTAATTTGGGACTTGCCATGTAGTGTAAAACCGGTTTACGGACATGTTGCCTATTGCCATGCTGTGATATGAGGGAACCTGAAAGTTTGTCAAAATAAAGCTTACAATGTTTCTTACACTGGATAACATTGGTTGATGTTACGATGTTCTATGTCTTT